CCATGAAAGCATTTAGAGGGTCAAGGTCAACTTGTTGATTGAACGTAATCGTGTGATCATCTTAAAATTGAGTAGCCGTCAGAAGGATAACGGGCTCGTTTTGAGGGACATTGTCCTTAAATTGTAAATTTCAAGGCATGCAAATCAGGTTGACCTTATGTCTGTCGCAACAGACTGATACATATTTCTTGTTCACTATTCTCTGAAGGCACGAAAAATTAACTTGTTGATTTTAAAATTCAACTGCTGTCGAGGTTTTATTTACTTCGTGATTTGAATTTTTTATTTCACAATTATACTAGTAGTTATTATAGCAATAATTTAGTAGTAACTAAGTAACTTTTACTTGATAATTACATTTTTTAATTAATAGAACAAATATATATTTACTGATGGACAATTAAATAGTTGCTAATAAATTGTACAATCAAATGTTTACTAATCAAGTGGACAATTAACTATTTACTGGGAGTTGGACAATTTAATATTTATTAATAAATTGCACAAATAAATACTTATTAATAAACTGAACACCTGAATACTTATTAATTGGACAATTAAATATTTACCAATAAATCTGACAATCAAATAATTTATTTATATTACATTCAAACAAAGAACATATTTATTAGTATGGTATATAATTTATTTAATTTGTTACTGTCAGTTATTATTCATTGTTACGATACAATTGATCTCTATGTATTATTAAATATTTATTTAATATCAAAATTAATTAGTCGCATTTATTTTATTATACATATCTAAGCACATGTTAAAAATTAATCACTTGTTATTCAATATTCAATAACAAAAAATTGTATTGATTTATTATTGTTTCACTAATTGCAATGTTTCAGTGATCAATATTATCTTCTCCCTATATCCAAATATTTTCTGCAATATTCTCATTGAAAATAATTCGCAGTAGCTCGTAGAAATTTATCGCTGCAGTTGTATCCGCTGTGACAGGGCATTTTATTCGTTGAAATTTTGTGTCGTTTATATTCGTGATCAGCAGATCAAGATGAGCGTCTGAAACATGGCTCGCTCTCCTTCTCGAGTGACGTGCGCGATGTTCGTGCCTTTTGTTTCGCCACGAAATGTGTGTCAGCGGCGAGATATGATTCTTAATTGCTTCCATTGGTTGTCAATAAGAATTATTTTAGAAGTATTGGCCGGCTGATCTCTGCGTCTCGAATAGATTTCGCTGCAGCTGAGCCACTGTAAAATATTTAACGTCACGAAAACGTACAGTACTTAACAGTTCTAAGTTGCAGATTGCGTGTACGTTTTTTAACGTTACTTATCAGTCACGTTATATTATTTATTAATTCTTTATTGATGGATTATGAAGTTTTATAATGGTTCGTGATATGCGAAAATGAATAGGGGCTCTCAACCTTTACGTGAACATGCGTTTAATAAAATTGATATGAAATTAATATGTCATGTTATGTTAATAGTGGTGAATTAATAAGATCGTGCATTAATAAAATCAACATGGTACATTAATAACATCAACATGCTATATTAATATAATAAACACGTATTAGTAAAACTAACATGTCATATTAATGAAATCAACTACTGTACTATTAACAAAATTATCCGAGTGTATTAATAAAATCAATCACTGTAGTACTATAGTCAAATAGTTAAATAGTTGAAGAGTAGTATAGTGGTACAAGAATATAGTAAAAAAACAATGCAGAAATATAATGATACAATGAAATAGTGGTATAGTAGTATAGTACGACATTAATATAGTAGTGTTGTATTATAGTAGAATGGAACTGTAGTAGTTTATTAGTACAATAATATATTAGTACAATATTGGAGCAGATTCAGAGCAGTATAGTGAAATAATTGAATAGTGGTGTAGTAGAATAATGGTACAGTGCTATAGTGATATAGTAGCCTAGTAGTAGTGGTATATTAGTATAGTAGTGTAATAGTTTAGTAGTATAGTAGTGTAGTAGTGTAGCAGCATAATAGTATAGTAGTATAGTAGCATAGTAGTATAGTAGTATAGTAGCATAGTAGTATAGTAGTATAGTAGTATAGTAGTATAGTAGTATAACAGTATAGCAGTACAGTAGTACAGTAGTACAGTAGTACAGTAGTATAGTAGTATAGTAGTATAGTAGTATAGTAGTATAGTAGTGTAGTAGTATAGTAGTATAGTAGTTTAGTAGTGCACGAGTTTATTAAGATAGTACCTTTGTAGAACAGTAATCTACTAAAATAACACAATAGTGTATTAAAACTGCATATGAGAATAATAACACATTAAAATAGTAAAAAGACAAAAACGACGAAATTCGAAAATACCAGGACAATGAAATAATAAAAATCCTACAGTGGTCCATAAGAATGCAAACATAACAAAGTAATAAAATAGCACGGTATTATTCCTAAACCAGTATAATAATAAAATACTAAGATAAAACAGTGAAATATAGACAAAGCGAAATAATAAATACTGAACGTATAAAATCTTCGTTCCTAACACTACGTACAGACACCCATAATCGGTAATCGTTCAAACGTGGCAATAAAATCTCTAAAACGTATTAATTAAAATCTTCCAAACGACCCGATCAAACGAGCACACGATAAAACCCGTGGCAACTTTTATTTCGTCGATCGTTTTCCAATAAAGAAAACAGTATTTATCGGCGGCGGATCATCGAGGTACCAATTTTCCTTCTTTTCTGTCAGGTTTCTTGCGCGTTTCCAGACCGCTCGTTACATCATTATCTCCGGCTATTTACAAGCGGCATTCAATAACTTCTCTCTAGAAATTACAGCGTCTATCAAACGGTAATTAGAACTCGGACTTTTTAATAATCACATTGTGCGATCGAACCGGCGAGCGCGTAAAGTAAAAAAAGATATTAGAAAAATCCGACCGGTTTCTTTCCGTCGCATTAATAACCTCTGACGAGCGTCGCGAACGAGCCTCGAACGATTTTCATCGCGCGTCATTCGATGAAAAAGCATCGGTCATTTTTTTCCGATGTCACGGGCTGTTGATCATTCTGTTTGGATCGGATTCGCGAGTTAGCCGAGTTAGGAAAGCGAATATGACTCGTTATTGGCTATTGCCACGAGTTGATTGACCTGTTCCGACGTATGCACCGAGGCCGATTTTTGGTGCGTTACGGTTTGCTAATCGTTTCGCACGACCGGCTGCCATCGATACTTGTGTGGTTGAGACACTCTCCCCGTGTGGCCTGTGTGCCTCTCTTTTTCGCTTTCTTTCCCCTTAGCGTCTTTTTCCTCTTGATTCATTGCGCTGCACATTCCCTCGCGCTATTTTCCTTACAGGGTCGACGGAGAAACTTTTTCGTCATAGAGGTTTCTTTCCTCGTAGCGGAATTTTTCTGTTTGGCAATTAGGAAAGTTGGAAATTTTGAGGAAGGAATTTGAGAGTGTAGGGTGTTACAGGTTAGGTGATTTTTATGTCAAAAAAACTGAAAATTTGATACTGAAAAATTGAAAAAATTGAAGAATTCAATAACTCATTAATTGAATAATTGAATAATTGACGAATTGAATAATTGGCGAATTGAATAATTGACGAATTGAATAATCGAAAAATTGAAGAATTGAAGAATCGAGGAATTGAAGAGTTGAAGAATTGAAAAATTGAAAAATTGAAAAATGGAAAAATTGAAAAATTGAAAAATTGAAAAATTGAAAAATGGAATAATTGAAAAATTAAAAAATTGAAAAATTGAAAAATTGAAAAATTGAAAAATGAAAAATTAAATATTGAAAAATTGAAAAATTGAAAAACTAAAAACTTGAAAAATTGAATAATCGAAAAGTCGAAAAATCGAAAAATTGAAAGTCTCTTGATTAGAAAATATAAAAATCCAAATATTGCCACGTGAAAATACGAAATTTAGAAATTAATAAACAAAAAATCACTTGAAAGAGTCTGCGTAGGGAATTCCACAGGCGACACAGGTGTATACGAGTAATAATGCACACGTTCTAACTCAACTCGTTCGAAGCCCGTATCCTTTTTCTTCGGTTTCTACTGTTCCACGTCTTCAGGTTCTCGCGGAACACCTCGGGTGGATCACTGTAAATGGATATCGCAGACAACCGAGCATCTGTGCTTGCGATAACAGCTAACAGCCTTGTATTAATAATTATATGCGTTTGGTGCGTTCGTTGTAAATTATTGTCCATTGTGTCGCGTTCCACGTCGTTGCGTTAGCGTGGAACAGAATCCATGAAACGTCGATAGATTTCTATTACGTTTCATTAATAACGACAGGATATGTAGTCAACAAAGTTTTTACTCGTTCGTTTTGCGTCAGTAGACGAATTCATCAGTTTGCAAAGTGAAGTGCGTTATTTATGATCTATTTTTATTTTCTCGGTAGCGGAGTTTATCCCAAGTTTAAGAAATTTCTAAATTTCTAAATTCTCAGTTTCACAAAATTTCTCACAATTTTAACATTTCCACACACCAAATATTTTAGAGCTAAAAATTTCTAAATCCTCAAATTCCAAATTTCCCAAATTTCCCAAATTCCCTAAATTCCCCAGATTGCCCAAATTCCCAACTTTCCCAAATTTTCCAAATTTCCTAAATTACCAAAATTTTCCAAACTTCTCAAATTTTCCGAATCTCCCTAAATTCTCCAGATTCCCACAGATTCCTCAAATTCTCCGAATTCCCCAAATTCTCCAGATTCCCCAAATTCCCAACTTCCCCAAATTCTCCAGATTCCCCAAATTCCCAACTTCCCCAAATTTCCCAATTTCCCCAAATTTTCCAACTTCCCCAAATTTCCTAAATTACCTAAATTTCCTAAATTTCCCAAATTTCCCAAATTTCCCAAATTTCCCAAATTTCCCAAATCTCCCAAATCTCCCAAATCTCTTAAATCTCTCAAATCTCCCCAATTTCCCAAATTTCCTAATATATTAAAAACAGAAATCCAAAAATCCCTCATAACATTTAACACAACAAATAAACCTAAAAAAATACTCGACTCAACCGATAATATTAAACATCGATAACTGTGAAAATCTAAAATATACCAGTGCTACTAAAATTCAGAAAATTTCATTCGATTCATTGATACATTTAGAGTTGTTCACCATAGCAGTTCAATGTTAAGCCATAGAGGAGTCATAGAACAGGTTTACGCGAACCAACCAGTCGACAAGAGTTGGCAAATGGATAGAGAGGTAATTATCGATGTTCTCATAAATTTTAATGCGTCGGTTAAACGCGTAATATGTCAAGATTTGACGAAAGTGTTGATACGTTGTTAACACTAGATGTTTATCTAACGAATTATCGTTGTGCTGAAATATTCGCAAAACGTTTTCGCGGTGTTTAATTATTAAAATAAGTTGGTGGAGAACACTGCGAATGTTTGTATCTTGATTTGTATACGCTAGGTTGTATTGTAGGGTTGTACACTTATGCGGTACTGCAGTGGAAGAATAAATAAATGTCTAAAACAAGAATAAATGGTGAGGTTCTTTTCAAGGATGTACAAAAAATTAATCTCAAAATTAAATATGATGTTTCACTCTGTTATTTATAGTTCTTAAAATACAGGAGATGAAAAAAAATTTGTCAAATAAATATTTAATAATAAATAGCTTGTACTAAACCTTTGAAATTCACAGTTTCTTAAAGAATTTTTTAGAGAAAATAATAATTTAAAATTTTGTTAACAACTAGTTTTTGTTCAAACTAATAATTTAGTGTATCATTAAATTTTTATTTAAAACATTTTTCACTATCTTCAATATTTCACGAGATTTTGAGGTTAGTTATGGCGCGAAAGAGACATTGTTCAAAACATCTAAAATTAAAATGAAAGTCTTTAGAAGTAGAACATAAAAGGAACGTCTCAATTGGAATTATTGAAGCTAAAGTTAGTCAGTGCGGAACAGAAATACTGCTAGTTAATCCTTTCATTCATCCGTTATTTTCTTCTGTCCAAGGTTGCACGCTTTTGCGTCAGAGTTCAAAGTGTAACCGAATGTATAAACAAAGTTGTGCGAGATCGAAAATTCTTCAAGATCAAGAACATCTTTGAGCGATGAAAGTCAAATGCTATCGATCGAGGAAGATCGGGTACAGAGTGTTCCTAGTTCGGTGAAATAAAAAAAGAAGCTAAAAGTGTCTGCAATTTTTTCAAGAAGACGGTTTGGACAGTTTCGAGGATTTTGTGAAAGAATTATTTATTATAAATAACGAAGATAAATATATTTTAGTGATAGAAATATTTTATTCATATTTGCTGACTGTACAATTAATTATAAATAGGTTTTGTCATTTTCTGTGTTACAACAAATTTTTTTATACAAATACTTGAAAATAACCGAATATAATTTTCTTTGCAAACGAAGTTCAATAAAAAGAAACGTTGTTGTACAATTTATTAATTTTTGCAAGTAAATTCGTTGTATCAATTGATAACATCCCTCAAACCCAATCTAAGAAAATAAAAACCTACTTAACTAAAAAAATTTCATAAATTCAGAAAAATAATGAAAAAGTAATGAAAAAGTTCAGAAAAGAAAATGTGACGAAATAAATGAATGTCAGTAGTGTTTCGTAAGTGTTGCTATGAAGGCCACGTTGTTCGGTATTGAAAGGGTTAATAATTTAGGTTTTTGTACCAACGGTGTCGATTTACGTTGGCAAAAAGAGCATATCCAACGAACACTTTCGTCTTCCGCGTATTGAAAGGTACTCGACCTCCGGAAACGACTTCTGGAATTGTTGATTCTCCTGGAAGCACGTGGTGAACTGGACCACGAGGCCGCGAATGTACCGTTAATCGCGCAACCGGCAAAAAATGGCGAGCTGTGACCAAAGCGGGTATGTATGCCCGCTGCCGCGTTCCTTACGACTTCCAATTTCCTGCTTCGCTCTATTCCTATACAAGATGTTTCCGACTCGATGATACCGAAAAGATATCGCTTAAATCTTCGGTAAAAAATGACAGAAAAAATTTATAATTTGTGAATTTGAATCGTAGGGTGCTTAAAAATTTAAAATTTCAACAATTTGGTATTTCGTGAATTTCACAAAAAAATTCAATAATGCCCTTAGAATCTTCATAATTGAAAAAGTTAACAAATTAAAAAATCTTTAAATATGTACGTTTAGAAACTTAAATCTACCGCTTCCTAAATGTACAAGTTCACAAAATGATCTGGAAATCTGCAAAATCATATAAATATTGTTCATTATTTTACAAGAGAAGATGACTCATACAACTCTTGAACCCAACAAGAACCTTGCGTGAATAACAGAAAGAACTCACGCCATAATATACATAGAAAGACACTTATACGTATATTTTTCTTGGTCCAAAGTTCAGCTCGATCCTGTTACTCATTTTTTCAGTTTCTCATTATTCTCACTTGTCATTTTTCAACGAATTCAATGTTTTTACGATAAACGATCCGGTGTTTACGATCGATTACGCCATCGTACGTTAATCTTTTTGTTACATTGTACGTAATCGAATAAAAACTAATGAGTCTTATAAAATTCATAGTTGAAAAAGAGTACGTTGATAATCAGCTAACATTGAATATTGCAGAGGACGAAAATTTCGCGCTGCAAAGTAATACGAGAAGTTATAAGGGTTCAAGGTGACAAGGAGGCATCGATAATTTAGTTGATCGATATTTGAGAGGAGGCACGGTTGAAAGAAGGCGATTGTTCAACTTTATACATATAGCAGGGATACTCCGATTCAAGGAGATATCTCGCTTTATCTTTATTGAGGATCCGAGCCTATTTGTTCGGAACAAAAATGTGAACGTCACTGATACGACAATAAAATATTATTCGTTCGATAAGATATTTACGTAATACAAAGGAAATTGAAAATGTCGAGTGTTTTTATCAATACGGGTATAAAGTTATCAATTCTTTTCATAATATTCACCAGATTACCGTTGCATTACTCGGGTTACGCTGAATGAGTGGAAAGTTCTTGAAATTGGCAATACAGGAAGTTATCGACGTATATAGCAAATTTTCAAAGCTTAGTAATCGAAAATTTTTATAATAGTCATGTCGTAGTGATATATTGTATATGTAATGTAACGCGCGGAAATATTTGTGACCATATAACGCGAGGTGATATAACACGTTGCAACAGAATACGTGGTGACATAATGCGCGGCTATGTAGTACGTATATGTCATATAATGTGTGGTTACATAATAGTGACATATTGTGTGGCCATATAACGAGTGGTCATGCAACACATAATTACACAAGGTACCGAAATATAACATGTGGAGATATCAGGCGAGAGAGTACCATATGCGGCAATATAACGCGTGGAAATTCTATCTGTGGCGATATAATGCGTGGATGTATTTCGCGTGGCAATATAACGTGTGCAAATAACATTCTTGACGATGTAGTGCTCTGAAATATTAGCAGTGGTGATATAACGCGTGGAAATAGATCCATGGCGATATATCGCATGGAAATTACATTTGTGTTGATATAATGCGTGGATGTAATATGCGTGGCGATATAACGAGTGGAAATAATATTTGTGACGATGGAATACCTGGTAGAACCACACGTGGCGATATAACGCGAGGAAGTAATATTTGGAACTATGTAATACTTGACAGACCCACACGTGGCGATATAACGTGAGAAAATAATATTTGTGATTATGTAATAGCTGACAGACCCACACGTGGCGATACAACGCGAGGAAATAATATTTGGAACTATGTAATATGTGACGGACGTACACGTGGCGATATAACGCGAGGAAGTAATATTTGGAACTATGTAATACTTGACAGACCCACACATGGCGATATAACGTGAGAAAATAATATTTGTGATTATGTAATACCTGACAGACCCACACGTGGCGATACAACGCGAGGAAATAATATTTGGAACTATGTAATATGTGACGGACGTACACGTGGCGATATAACGCGAGGAAGTAATATTTGGAACTATGTAATACTTGACAGACCCACACGTGGCGATATAACGTGAGAAAATAATATTTGTGATTGTGTAATACCTGACAGACCCACACGTGGCGATATAACGCGAGGTAATAATATTTGGAACTATTTAACATCTGATGGGTCCACACGTAGCGATATAACGCGAGGAGATAACATTCTCGACGATACAGCGTTTTGCATTCCGCATGGCAATATAACGCGAGGCAATAACATTCACGGCGACATACCGCGTTGAAATTTTATGCGTGGCTATGTAACGTGTGGGAAAACCACCTGTGGTGATATAACACCTGACAGTAATTTGGTAATGATTTTAACGCGTGGCAATAAAGCGCATAGTGAAATGACTGTTTCACAAAATATTTTCTTATTTCACATAACTGTTAGTGTTTATACAAATTAATACAAGCTTTTTTAAGAAATCACCTCAGGGATCTTTTTTGTAACCTATCAAGTGTTTGAAAGGTGACAGTGATCTATTGTCGTGGAAAGTTATCGACTGAAAGATAAAAAGCATCGTCGTTAAAATCCAATAGCTATCTAAATCACCAGATGCCAACCTAATAGGAAAACCTATTTGCAATTTAAAGCGTCCAGTCCATTGAGATACGTTTGTAGGATATGTTCATCATTACTCACTCTAAATGTTGAAAGTCTAACGAAAACCATTAATACATCTCTGTACACAATTGTCTTACATTCACGTTTTCCATTCTGTTGCAGATGCTCCCGAAATTGCGGTGCTGCTAACATCCACGTCTGACCAAACAGTTTGTAAGTATATTTCGTTATTAACGTTTCTATTAGTAAATAGTTTCGTGTTCACAGGAATAATAAGCTAATTACAATCTGTTTAGTTCATTGTCCATGACCTACCTCCTCCTACGCGAGTTACACGAAAGAAAACACTCGACTGCTTTGCACACTGTTGTAGCTACTTAAGTTCTATTAACCGTTGCGACTATTTGCAAATCAAATGTAGAAACTGTAAGAGGCGTTTGAAAATTCATAATGCATATTGTGTATTTTAGGATAATTTACATCAACAACTTGCGCGAACAAGAAACATTCTTGTAATGTAGTCTGCATTAATGTCTTGTACTCGTATTGTGCAGTTATTTATAACAGTGATGAGTAATTCTTGCACTCGAAGCATTTGTATTCTAATTGTTTCACTATTTATGTCAGTGATGCACGGTTTGATTGATACACTTGAATCAGATTCAGATTCAGATCTTTACTTGAAGATTTGGTACTATACTCTTTTAACAGACTCTCGTTATATTGCCATAGATACGCAAATAGTATGTGCAAACGAAATGTTACAGAAATTGGTGATATAAAGAGAGGTGAGCAAAGTTTGTGAATTTTTATATTTTTAAACGTTTGAATTTATCTCAATTATCTCCTACAATTTCTATAATTTGAAATTGTAAATTAAAAATTTGCAAAATTGAAAAATTGAAAAATTGAAAAATTGAAAAATTGAAAAATTCACCGCTGCAAATTTTGGAAAAGAAATTTAATTTTTTAGAAAATTACAGACTGAAAAATTACAAAATTGAACAACTGGCAAGTGAACAAAAAAGAAAGTAAAAAATTCTAGAACAAGATCACTGTCTTAACCTATATTGAATTAAATACCACAAAAATTAAATAAATACATTATAATTACCCGTTTCACAAATAGCAATTATATAAACTGTCAAAACTGTACATAAATAATTGTCGGTCACAGAGTTCACTGTTCTCGTAAAAGTTTCATCCATTATCGTAAGCACATTTCCTTTTATTTGAAGACCGTGTTGTGTGTATATGGAAATCACACGTGACGTCAATGCTGACAGTAGACAAAATAATGCAAATAATGTGTCGAAAGTATCCGCCTCCCTTTACTTTATTCATGTATAGAGTAAAGCTAAAATGTCGATTTAACGGTTTAATGAAGCGTTCGAAGACGTAAAGAGGTGTCTCCATTTTGTTCTTACGTTCTCTTCGTGCGTAAGCCTCTCCCAGTTTTTACAAAGAAGAGACCATTTAACTCTGCATGCGTTGAAATAAACGATCATAGGATTAATTTTAATAATCATTGCAAGTTTATAACTTAGAACTTCCTTTGAATTTTAATGAAACTATAAAAAGTATTAATGTTTCCTGTGATAATGCGTCGAAGGCAATAATATTTGCATTAAATTATATTGCCATATAGACTTTTATAAAGTACCAAGAATACATAAAATCATTGCAGTTAGCAATATATTAAATTCGACAAAAAATGTTCTCTTCTATTACAGTGATCTTTCATCGATCCTTATGCAATGTAAATCCAATTTTCGTTTACAATTATTTAACTGAAATTAGTTAATTTCACAATACGAGTATAATGAATGTATGCAGTTCTAAATAAATGAAGTAATTAACTAATTAGTTGCTCAAATATAGTATTGCTTTAAAATACCACTGCGGTAAAGCGAATTGAGTAACGTGAAATAAGTCGCTTGTTATCATTGGTTCCACGCTGGAAACCATTAACTCAGAGATAATAACACTTGACAAGATAACTACAGCTATAGCAAAGATATTAGAGATATTAAGCAAGCAACTTAATTGGTTTGAGTATGTCGTTTCCAAGCTATACCATATAATTTTTTACGCTTACATGATTCGATTACGCTAATTGGGCTATGTTAGGTTAGGTTCATTTAAGAAATTTTAGCTTACCAGTTCTGTATGCGGTGAACGACTTTTGAAGTATACATTTATAACTGAAACAGAAAATAATTCATGGATGTATGATGTGTCACAAAACAGATAAAATAGCATCAAGATCAATTCCATTAATAGTAATGTATTTGTGATTTATGAATCATAGTTGCCACAATGATAAAGAATTTCAATCCGTTCTTTTTAATAACTTCAACTTTTGAAATTCTCACAATATTCATCATGGCTAATTTTCGAAATATTTTTGTTTGACCAGGTAAATCAGATCGAAAGATGCAGTCAGCGATCTTGCTCGTCCTCCTCCTGAGTTACTCAGGATGGGTAAATGGACTTTGCGACTTGGAGAACGGCGTAATAGCACATTGCCACGAGCTAGAAGACGTCAAGTACATCGAAACGTACGACCTTGAAACGCTCAAGGCTTCCCAGGCGAAACCAGTCCTCCGTCCCGGTATCTTCGTCAACCTGACCAGCCTACGACATTTGGACCTCTCCAGAAGCGGCATCGAACGAATAGAACCAGGAGCCTTCCGCGAACTGCACAACCTACGAAGCTTGGACTTAGCTGAAAATAATCTGGAACAGCTGGAGCTAGGTTCCATAGACGGTCTGCACCATCTGCACAATTTAAATCTCCGCAAAAACAATTTGCAACAATTGCCTCCCGTGTTGGCTCGTTTGAAGATAAAGTACCTGGACATCCAAGGCAATCCCTTGCAATGCAACTGCTCGACGCTCAGAGTGAGAGATTTGATCGTCAAGAGGGGCGTGAAGATCATGAAGAAGGTGCTCTGCGCAGGTCCAGGTAATCTGAAGGGGATGTCGTTGTTCAAGGTGGACACAGCCACCACTTGTCGTTTCGAGGAGCAAGACCGGGAGATGCAGAATGACCAGCCTTCAGTGTCAGAGGAGGAATTTGGATCAGGAGACGATCTGGGTAACAGCGAGGAGCTTACGAGCGGTTCCTCGGAGATCCCTAAGGAAGTGGAGATCGAAACTCCGCTTCCAGACGCGCCTGAAGTCTCCACTCCTTCGATCGTTCAGTCATCGTTTGCGGACACCAGTGAGTCGCAACAGAGCTCAAGCTCCTCCGAAGAGGCGGCGACCACACAAATGGCGCTGAAGAAGACGATCGACAAAGACGAAGAGATCTACTTCGATTCCGATGAGAAGACCTCGACATCCACCGCGGCGGTTGAGAGACAGAAGGTGTACGTAGACAACTTGTTCCATCCGGAGGGTTCCGGGGATGTGGAGGACGGTTCTGGCGAAGGTTCGGGCACGGACGAGGTGTTCGGCACCTGGACGAAGATCGGTGAGGTGGAGAAACCTGTCGAGAACGAAGAGACCTCGTCCATCGGCAGCGGACTGTTCGACATGTTCGTCAATATGTTGTGGAGCACCACGGAGGCTCCTGGCGCCGCCAACGATCCAGACTTGGAGGAAGAACAGTTCATCGACGTGTCCTCGGCGAAGGAAGTCGAGGAGGAGATCAGCACGCAGAAAGTCACCCCGAAGGAGACGGCTCCACCCACAACCGAGGCGCCCAAGGTCGAGATCATCGACAACGAATTGCACGACAAATCGAAGTTAGAAAAAGTCGTGGAGGAAAGCGACGTCGAGGAGAACGACAGGTCGGCCGAGGTGGCTCTGACGAAGCAGTCCAAGAAAGGCATGGGCTCTTACTTCGTCCTTGGCGCTCTGCTGGCGATCCTGGCGACTCTGATAGGATTCGCCGCGTACAAAGGAGACTTTTGCAGGAGGAGGAGGAAACGCGGCGATGTGGAACACGGGACGGAGATGAAGGACATGCAGAAGGCTCTGTTGGAGACGGGCAACTCGGCGCGGCCGAAGGTGGCCTCGAACGGAAACGTGGAGAACGTCCCTCTGTTCCAGGACGCGACGGACCACGGGGACACGAAGACCAACGACTTCCAGACGACGATAGACGTATCCAAACCTCCAAGTGAACGCACTGAACCGACGAAACCGCCGAGGAATTCACAAAATGGCCAGAGGCTGAAGGACACGGCTGATCAAGAGTCAGCTTCCCTGAACGACGATTCATTATCTGCGAGGATAAGCTCGGCAGATCCGGTGGTTGATAACTGCCCGGTGAACGAGTCACCGGACGTGAACGGACCTCCTCTGAGTCCTGGTGCTCAGAGAGTGAAGATCACCCTGCAGGAGAACCCTGACAGCGTGCCGAAGACACCCATACTCATTACGAGAACAATGGCTGGTGAGAATCTAGTCAAAACACCGTGAGGCAAACTGTTTGACGTGGGAACAAGTTGACCAGACACGAAATTTGAACTGGAATAAATGACAACGGGTTTTAAGTTGAGTGACCGACGGATGGTAAAGAGGGAATCTATGGTTTTGTTTCGAATGAGATTCATGGGGTTGCCAGTGTTCCTAAGCCCGTGCATTTATGGCCCTTGATAAACTGTTACGCGAGCTGTAAGATTTGTTCTTGCGAATCGTTCTCGTATATGAATCAAGACTGTTTTTAACGAACGTTCATTTTCATAGGTTAAGAGGTTAATATTTAGAGATAGCGATAGAAGATACGAGCGATTCTGTGAAACGAGATTGTACATATTTGCAAATAATGTACGCGCGAACCTCGGTAAGTTTTTCTTAGGAGACGCTTGTTAATTACGTGTATTATAGACTTGTTATTTTGCCATTAATAATTTTTTGAAGTTGGTAACATGTCGAGTCTCAAAGTCTTCGACATAAAGCGGCAATATAACGAGATTAGATTAGCGTGTGGCCTTTGAGAGGACGTAATAAGCAAAGAAAGCTCCAAGCCCCGGGCGTAGGGAAATATCGAGGTTTTACTGTATTTATATGTAGGATGTTTCTAATTACCTGTTAATTACTCTGTTTGTGACGATACGGTAAAATGTTCCAGGAAGAAATTACCATATTTCAACGGAAAAGTTAGACTGTGAAATTGATCTTCCCTGAATTATATTTTCGGAGAATTTAAACTTTTTAGTGAAACTATATTTTTTTCAATGAATCCTAGTGAAAATATTTTACTAAAACAGTAAAAATAAATAACAATATAATTAATAACAATTTATGAAATATTTAAAATTTGAAAACAAAGAAAATCTTAATTATTAATTTTTTTAAAACAGTGTCCTGAAGAGTCGACGTAAGAAAGTCATGTTTTATTAACAAACCTAATAATAAAATCTAAAAAAATATGACCTCGAAATTTCACCCTCATACGAGAAAGTATAATAATTTTTTGCTGCAGCATTTTTCTGTAACTTCATAAACAAAATAATGAAAAAATGGTTGGAACATCCTACATATATGCGTATTATATATATACATATATGTACGTATAAATTGATAACATAATATATATACGAAGTTTCATTGTTTTGTATAAAATTTACGAATGGAAAATATTTGATACATTTTGTATAACGTGTATTCAATATTAGCACACTAGTCAGTTCTGATCGAGGATCTTCATTTTTATACAAATTTCAATGGAATTAGTTAGAATCCTTTGACCTCCAAATACGTACATCATCACACGAACGTAACCCTAGTACTTCCGCTACATTTTAAAAATTAGATGAATTTAATTTAACGAAAATTATTGAATAAATTATTACGATAGTGTATTATAACTGCGAAGATTTTATTTGTTGTTGAGTGTATATTCTGAGAGGCACGAGAACATTTGTAATAAGCATTCCAGAGAAATCATTCTATTTAATAATCAATGCCATTATTTGGGTGATAAAAAGTGTTTGTAGAAAATAACATAGAATATTGTAAAATAAGAAACGTGTATCCGCAATGTTTTTCAACGTATAGAGAAATATCTTAGCATTTTGCCAAATATGCAACGATGTTGTATAGGACTTCATAGAGACTTGTTCCACTAGTAAGCAATCATATTTTTTAAACAGATTTTACGATGGAAATTGTAAATAACCAGAAGCAGTGAATCTTTAAAAAATTCAAGAATTAAAAATATGTTACGTGTAGTTTAGTTGTATATTCGTTTAAAAATTTATTTATTTCATGATGAAATGAAAGAAGGTATCTTAAGAAATAATTCCTTAAAATATTTCTATTTATCGCTAGATATATTATTTATCGTTACAGCGTTCGATTCCCCTGTAAAAAAAATGTTCACCCGACGTGAAATATTACCGCAGTATAGATTTTCCATGAAAAATGCAAACGGAATTTTTGCTCGGTAAGAAAGTGCCGTTTAATCTGTTACGAAGAGAATTATCTCTCTGATACTGTGATTAGCACTGAAAGGGGTAATATTTAATCCTACGTGATATCATCGTTATCGCACCATTCACTTTGATTCTTATATAAGCTGTACGTGCGACATAAAGTGTATGTTGTTATGAGTAATTACGATAAAAATGGATACGAAATAAAATATTAATGTTTATTCAATGAACAATTATTTATCCTTCATCGCACATTTTCCGAGTTTCCCTCTCTTTCTTGTTCTTTAATTTTTATATTAGTATTAGTATTTTAGTTTTATTTAATATTTTAAATTAGGACTGGTATTGCAGTTTTATTTAGTTTATAATGGAATTGGTATTTTAGATTTATTTAGGATTTTATTTTAGAAGTAGTATTTTAGTTTTATTTAGTATTTTTGATTAAAATGAATATTTCAGTTTTATTTAAAATTTTTAATTAGAACTAGTATTTTAATTTTATTCAGTATTTTAAATTAGAATTAACAGGTAAGTTAAATTTCTAAAAATAATTTAAAAAATTGAGAATTCCTCAAAATTAATATATGTTAAGCAATAAAATTAAAATAGATCAAAATATATTATTAAAAATGTGTCCAAAAGCTTAGAAGTATCCAAAATTATATTATTTTGCATAGAAAATTACAAGTGAATCATATTTGAATAATATTGTAAGGTTCTTTAATAATTCTTTGTACTATAAATTAATTACAAATTTTCTGATACTTATAAATATTGTATTTAATTAATTGAACACTATTTTTCATTCTTTACTTCCTAATTTCTTAAATGGCAGTAATTTACAACTTACAATATATTAATACATACTTTAAAATTATAAAAATTAGCGCTAAATAGAATATAAAATTTCAGGTATATCAAATAATACAGAAATGCTATTATTGCATTGATATATTAATTTATCAGACAACTCTTGTTAAGTGGGTTACACATTTTTGATAGAATCAGAATTTTCCATTATATAATATTTTTGATTAAAGAGTATTTCATTAATATATCTATTGAAATTCTTAAATATTCTGTGACAACCAAATAATTGAATTATAATTGATAAATAGATCATTTTTAATTGAGAATTAAGATGAAGTAAATTAAAATAAAAATTTTAATTTAGTTTCGTAAAATTTTTAAATATTGCAAATTAACAAATTTTCTGATTACAAACTGAAATTCAAGTTTTAATTCAAGTTTAAATTCCAGCTTGTCAAATTAAATATTAATCATTAATTTTCAACCCTTAATAGAAACTTCTTTCAATTAACAATAAAAATTTGTTTTGCCTTCAACTGTGCTCTATAAGAAAATTATAATTGACCTATTGATTGACCTTGAATAACTGAAAATTAATTTTAACATCGAATTTCTTCAAATTAATAATCAGATTTTAATTAAATTCTAATCTCTGAATTAGAAATCAGAGTACTGTTGACTACAAATTTCAATTAACAATTAAAATTTAATCGTTACTTAAATAACTTCTACACAGAAATTAATGTTTAATATATAATTCAGCAAGCTTCAACTTCAAATTAAACCTTCATCTTCAACTAAAAACCAATTCATTTCTAACTACAATAATTTTGACTCAGAATCAACCTCAACTTAATTCACAACTAAAGCACAACTTCATAACTAAAATAATAAATGACTTCACAACTAAAATTCAATTATAAATTAAACATTGATCTTTAATCATTCCATAATTAAATTAAAATCCTAGCAAATAACCCCGTACGCAAGCGTCGCAAAAATTAATTCATACCTCGAAAATGTCATCAACCCCCTTAATCGCCACAGCGAACGAACCCTATAAAACCTACAAAATCTGTCCATCAATGTCAACGATCCCGCGAACCTCACCGTGCAACACTCTGAAAAAGTTTCATAAAATCACATCCACGTTTCATTCAGTACTCTCTCGTTCCACCGCAGTTTCTCTGTGTCCACTTCTGGGTTCTCGTCGAAGTTCTCGGATAACGATCGATCTGCTCGAACCGATCGGTTGAATGTCCGAGTCTTCGTCGTCACTCGAATGTCCATCGTAAAGCGTTCGTCTGCGTTTCTTTTTTCTTGCACTCGGTGTCTGTGGCCTGGGTCGAACCCGTCCGCTTCCGGTATCGTTGGAATCGCTCATCACGCTGTGTCTTCGGGCAGATCTCGACCTGGAATTCCTCTGACTCGGTAAGTCGTTACCGACGTTACCGACCGAGTTGTTTCGCACTCGTCGAATCCTCTCGACTCGTCGCTCCTCTCGTCGGAGCAGGTCGTCCTCGCTGTGAATTCTCTTCTTCGTTCTTCGCGAGCGACGCTGCTTCGTTCGTATGTTATCCGCGGAACCCATCACACGTACCGACGTGGTTTCCACGGAGATTTCATCCAGGTTGTCTAAGGAACGTGCTAATCTTGGCATTTGCACCGCTTCTTCGTAACTGGGTGGCCCGATCAGCTCCAAAGGATGGATACGAGGTTCTGGCACACGCTCGGTACGTTCCTCTTCGACGATCTGGTGAATTCTGTCGACAAACGGTAAGTTAAAGTACTTCAGTTATTTTGAATTTAGGTTTTTGGGAGATTTTGAAAAATGACATGTTCTGTGTAGAAATATATTTTTGTTTGAGATATCAAAAATGATTTTGACAGATTTCCCGCCTTTTTTAGTTCTGAAGTATGTTAAACACAACTTTGGAAAACCGATATGTTCTAAGCAAATTTTATAAGTAGGCTCTTTGTTGCAAAAGAAAATATCTATAAGTATGCTATTTTCCTGTGAAAATTTTTTGATGTGAAAAAAAATATTTTGCCATTCTTATGTTATTCCCTGTATCATCGACGAGATAGGATATAGTGTGGAAACTGTTATAAACACATAATCCTCATCAAACTTGGGGTTCAAACCCATAGAATATATTGCAAATAGTATAAAATCAATATTAATATATATATAATGAATATATAGCATGTTGATTAATAAAATTGATGGTAATTGAATTTTTATGAAAATGGAAAAGGTGGCGCCATTTTTGTGGCGAACAGGGTGAACTACTTTTGAAACTGCAGTTACATTAGAAACCTTGAGTTAATTGGAATTAAAAGAATGATTAAAAATTAATAATAGTTTGGTAAAATCAAAGGAATTCGTTAATTGTTCTTGCATTATAATGTAATTCGAATTATATTATAGTCAATTAAGGTAATAAAATCAATTATACTATTTGAACATAAAGATACACATAGCGTCATCTGGTGGCACAGCATGGATACTAATGAAACAACAGTTTCAAAATTGTGTAGTTCATCTTGTTCGACAGAAAGGCGACGCCACTTATTTAATTTTTGTACAAATACAATTAATATTGATTCTATTGGATTAATTAACATCTGTCATGTTACATCTGTAGCAAAAGTAATTAATTTCGGAATGTTTTGACTATACCAAACTGTTATCAATTTTTAAAAATTGGGCAAAAATTCGGAAAACTGATTTGGTCCGATGTCGTTAAAATTTTGGTAAGTAATCTCTTCTTTTGCAAAAGAAGATAACCGTAAGAGTGATGTTTGGAAACTCAAAAGAAAATGTTTTGCTATCCTTATATTATTCTCTATATTACCGTCGAGACACAGTATAGTGTGCCAACTGTTCTGAGCACATAATCCGCATTTACGGATCCACGGAATATATTGCAAACAGCATTTTCATGTTGAGAGTACACATTAAGAGTATTGAGTATTTCCTCTACCAAAAACTACGTCAAACCTTCTTAGATATTACAGTGTAGATAGCATATACATTGCCAGTACTCTATAAAACTACCATATATGAATTATATGGATACGCACATATAAAAAAATAGTAGGAAATTTCTATTTTAAAGATTTTGTTTGATTCACAGTATCGTCATTTTCAGAATAGTCGATCGTCAATAAGGTAGAAAATGACAAAGTTGGTAAAAAATCATTTTCACAAATGTTTCCTTTCTTAACACGGAACAAGTGAAACTTTATATGCTACTTTACCTACTACCTAATATTCAATGATCTAATCCTAATAAAATCAGCAATAACAACTACTAAAACCATCACATTTTCTCAGCCTCCATATTCTTCTCACCATTTTCTATATCTCGTATCTCATATTTTCACGTATTTTATAATATTAATATAACATTGTCTCAAGACACATTCCTTACCTTCTCTGTCTCAGTAGTCTCAACGTCTCTAATTGTTGTCTCTGTTCCATGGCTCTCCTTTTAACCCTCATCATGTGTCTAATAGACACAAGGCTCCCGAGCAACACAACCACCGTAAGAGCAGACACCATTATAAATCCCCAAGTTCTGTCCACATTGTGATACAAAGGTGTACTCCATTCATCGTAACAAGCACTTTTCCATGTATAACCAGATACGTTCGCTGGACTCTGACAGATCAAACTCGTTTCCGAAGTTTTAGCTGGTTGTTCGGTTAAAAATGTGTACATAAATAGTAAGTCGTCACAATCGCAACGCCATGGATTATCCTCTAACTTGATGATGTTTAAGTTTGGATTGTTTCGAAACATCTCTGGGTCTAGGGCTTCTGTTAAACGATTTCCTAAAAATTGAATAGATGTTATTGTTATTCATTAAATACTAATATTATTAGTTGTTTAATTTAGTAATAAATGGGTATTTGTTAAGACAGAATGCAAAGATGGCGGACTCTGTTGTTATTAGGAAGTGAAACGTGTGTGGTCAGTCACAAATCTTCAAGTATCTAAATATACAAATTTTCTTGTGATAGAAAAACCTCGTCCTATAATGCCAATTACCCTTATATCATCTCACACTGCAATTTTATTTCAATTACTTCAAAAACATTCATCACCCCTAACTATTTACACCAAAATCCGTCTCCCAACTTCGACCAACATATCACCAAAAACCTCTAACCTGATAAATCGATTCTGGTGAGTTGCGTCAACTGCAGAAAAGTGTCATTCTCGATCATCATTATCCTATTCCTCTTCAAGTCCAGATTCTTCAAGGTCGTCGATTTCTGTTCAGACGGTATCTTCTCCAATCGATTGTCGCTCAGATCGATGCTCTTTATTTTCGGTAAATTAGCCAGAAAATTATTATCAAGCTTGTTGATCATGTTCGACGATACGTCCAACGACGTCACAGACGACATAAGATTCGGAAATTCTTGCAGAGTGTTCGACGACAAATTCAGCGATTTCAGTTCGATGTTCTCGTGAAACGTTAACGGATCAATCGTTCCGATGCTGTTCATCGACAAATCCAGTACTTTCAGGTTCACCAAACCTTCGAAGGTGCTGGTGTTCAAGCTTTCTATACCGTTCGCGTTTAAATACAAAAATCCGAGCTCCTTGTTCGTGGCGAAAATTCGATCTGGCAACATTCGAATCACGTTGCGGGATAAGCGGGCTTGGGTCAGTGATGGGAGTCCGTGGAGACCCGGTCTGTCCAAATTGCAGTGCGACACTTCGAGTCTTCTCAGCTTTGGGTGCGTTAATGTCGAGTGTCTGCAACAAATGATTGTTAAAATGTTAGGTTAAAATATTAGGGTAAAATGATAGATTAAGATGTTAAGATAAAATGTGAGGTTAACATGTGAGAATAAAATGTGAAGATAAGATGTTTCATTAGAATGTTAAGTTACAATGCTAGGTTAAAATTTTAGTTTAATATATGAGGTTAAGATGTTAGGATAAAATGTGAGGTTAAAATGTTTGATTAGAATGTTAAGTTAAAATGTTATATTAAAATGTTAAGTTAAAATGTTGGTTTCAAATGATAGGTTGAGGTGTTTTCTAAGAATGTTAAGTTAAAATGTTTGATTAGAATGTTAAGTTAAAATGTTTGATTAGAATGTTAAGTTAAGACGCTAGATTAAAATGTTAGGTTAAGATGTAAGGTTAAGATGTTTGATTAGAATGTTCAGATAAAATGTTGGATTAAAATGTTAGATTAAGATGTTAGGTTAAAATGTTAGTTTAAAATGTTAAGTTAAGATGTTTGATTAGAATGTTAAGTTAAGACCTTAAATTAAAATGTTAGGTTAAGATGTAAGGTTAAGACGTTTGATTAGAATGTTCAGTTAAAATATTAGATTAAAATATTAGATTAAAATGTTAGGTTAAAATGTTAGTTTAAAATGTTAAGTTAAGATGTTTGATTAGAATGTTAAGTTAAGATGTTTGATTAGAATGTTAAGTTAAGACGTTAGATTAAAATGTTAGGTTATAATGTTTGATCAGAATGTTAAGTTAAGATGTCACACTAAAGTGTCAGGTTAAAATGTTAGTGTAGAATGTTATGTTAATTGCTTGCCTCGTACTGTAAACTAGTGTAGGATTGTTGTTCAGTACTAGTTCTAACAGTTCCGGAAATCCGCTGAATGTATCCGGACTCAAGTAATTCAAATGACAGTCGGACGCGTCAAGCAATCGTAATTTTGGACTCCATGGGTACTGAATGAATTTCAAAGGATTTCCTGTTAGACTCAATGTAATTAACGCTGGAAGACCGTCTAAGGACGAATTACTTAGTTCTCGTATTCCTGTCGAACAACAAACTACATTAATCACTTCATACTTATAATAAATCGCTTTTTTTACTTTGAAAAATAAATTTACACAGAAACTTATATTATTTATACAAACAATACATAATATTTACTTTCTTGATCGTAAATTTTAATGTAGAAAAATGTAGAAAAATAGAAATGCTATTTGTAAAATGAATATAATAATAAGTCGATTTTGTACCTTTTATATTTCAAATTTTTTTTAATCAATTTACAAATGAAAGAAGAGTGAATAAATAAATAATTGTAGTTATTATTTATCATATAGAATTTATACAAATAGTATTTATACAAATAGGATTAAAATATAATATTATACATAAATTTGACATGGAAATTCATAAAAAAAAATTTGTATAAATACTTTAATACATACAAAGAATATAAAAGGTACAAATAAAAAGTTGTTTAAATAAAATATTGTCGTACCACACTGACTAGCGTCTAAAATTTCAAGGGTAGAACTTATGAGACCTTCTAAAGTAGTTAATGGATTCTTCGATAGATAAACAACAGTTAAAGACTGCAGTTGTCTTATAGCAAAAATGTTGCTGGTTTTGTGTATTTCATTGCCACTCAAATCCAATCCTCGTAGATTCTTCAAGGCAATCAAATCGTCAGGTAACGAACTTAATTTATTCCGTGCTAAATTCAAGTATTGTAATTCTGTCAGTCGATTAATGTCGTTGCTGATATTTCTTAGTAAGTTATTCGATAAATTCAACTGCTCCACCTGGAAAGAGATTAATTACTTATTTATTTAATAAAATATATTTTGAAAATGATGGACATTAAAGGTAACGTAATTTTGTGGAGGAATTTATGTGTTAGGATATTTATCAGTTTGAGAATTTTAGGATTTGTCTGTTAAACAATTTAGGAATTTTAGGATTTGAGTGTTTAACAATTTGCGAATCTTTTTGAGAATTTATAAATTTAGGAATTTAGGTATTTGAAGACAAATTTACGAGTGCTGAAACACTTAGAAATTAAAATAAAAATTGTATACCTTGAAATTTGAAAATATGCAAATTTTAAAAAAGTCCTAAGTATATGAAACTTAAATTCCCAAACTGCCATACAATATTTCGTTATTGTCCAATATTTGACATATAACACAAAACGTACTACATTGTGAACATACTACACACTTCCCAAGATAACCGTGATATGTATAGTTCTTTTTCGTAACACCGGTACATTTATACAGGTGATTCATTCGTAGCTACGTTTTCAACGAGCACCGATAAAAGACGTTAAAGAGTGATCAAACTTGCAACAATAATTATTAAATGATTCATTTAATCGAACACAATTACTCACAACGTCACTGATATTTTTCGGGAAAACTTCCAAGCCTTGTCTCGAACAGGTTATGGTTCTCGGCTGTTGGCTGAGGTAGCACAAGCACCTCGAGGGACAACTTTGGCATAATGCGGTCGAGAAAAATCCCAGGCACACAGTCAACAACGACACTATACCACGGACGGTGATAACCCGATTCTTCATGATCTTTGCTGTCGTACGCGATCGCGTCACATTTTCACTACACGAAGAAAACACGCGTTTTAGAGACACCGTGTACGTTCGTTCATTTTGTGATTTTTCCGATTCGTGGAGAAATATGGCACCTCGTGGATCGATGAGTGGCTCAACAGCACGCCGAACCGTCCTGAAAACTACTGAGTACTTATCTTTGATAAGTAACCCGGGATATGCCGTATGATATCTCTGTAAGATAAGTCGAGCGTGCGAGGTGTCGAGAGCATTATTCTAGCTGATTGATCAAAAAACTTCTAGGAAAAAATAGCAGTTTCCCATTTTTTGTTGTTTAGTGTATTCGGAAAATCAGATGATAAAGTATGTAAAATTAAGAAGATAAGCGGATTTGTGGAGATCAGTTTTATTGAGTCATATCGAATTTGGAATGCTGATTTATTGCGGTGAGATTGATGATTTGGATAGTCGAATGTATTCGATCATAAGTAGGTATATCTACATACACTCAAACGTATTCGGATATGAGTTCAAGACATACAATGCACTCACACATGTTCAAACGTAAAAGCTTGTTTAATATACTTATATATTATACTGAAACTTAGTCAAGTATAAATATGTTAACATATGTAAACAATTTTGTAGGTTAACACATATGTATGTAAGCTGCATATGTACGTATGTGTTAACATGCATATGTATGTAAGCATGCATATGTATCTATGTGTTAACATGTGTATACATATGTATGTGAGCATGCAAATGTACGTATGTGTTAACATGTGTATAAATATGTTGTTAAACATGCATATGTATTACCACACATATGTGTTATATATTAATATGTTAATATGTGTATAAACACATATATTCATGTACATACGTATGTTTACACATACGCACATAAGCATGCTTAACAACATATGTGTGCTCAAACATACTCAAACATAAGTTTGTCGAATACACATACTCAAACATATTCAAACACGAATTCATTCAACATGTACATTCAAAAAATGTTCAAACATAAGTTTGCCTAAAATAAATTTACATAAGACACTCAGACATATTCAAACATAAATGTGAACGATACATGTATGCAATATAACAAAAAAAATTGAAACGCAAGTTCTGTATCCACAGCATGTATGCAGGGCGTGACCAAGCATTTGGAAGAGCGAATTTACAAAATCTCGGCGAAGGGGTTGGTTTAATATCAACAGGTAGAAGCAACGCGTCCTTGTTCCTACTGGATAAGCCGTTGGCTAAGCGCCGGCGCTAGCTAAACCTCTCGCACCCTCCGGAGGGTGTGACCTATCATCCCCATTGGCTCAACCGGACGTGTAAAAAAGAGAGAGAGACACAGTCCTGCGCGGATAACACTTTTTTAAATCCGTCCTCGCGAAGGGTGGAGCTTTTATCAATTTTAGGACGCGTCATGTACACGCAAGGTATCGTGTGTGTTCTCCGCATGTGCTGATTTGGTACCGGTCGTTTTATTTATGTGATGTTTGTTGCAATTTGAAGAATTAGATCTTTGATGGTAGAGATTTTGGGATTTGGGAATTTTGGAGTTTAGATTTTGAAGTTAAGGAATTTGGGGAATTTGGGATTTGGGGAGTTTGGGAATTGGGGAATTTGGGATTTGGGGAGTTTGGGATTTGGGGAGTTTGGGATTTGGGGAGTTTGGGATTTGGGGAGTTTGGGATTTGGGGAGTATTTGGGATTAGAGAAATTTGGAACTTGAGGAATTTGGGATTTGGAGAGTTTGGGATTTGGGGAGATTTGGGGTTTGGGAGATTTGGGGTTTGGGAGATTTGGGATTTAGGAGATTTGGGATTAGAGAAATTTGGAACTTGAGGAATTTGGGATTTGGAGAGTTTGGGATTTGGGGAGTTTGGGATTTGGGGAGATTTGGGGTTTGGGAGATTTGGGATTTGGGAGATTTGGGATTTGCGAGATTTGGGAATTGGTGAATTTGGGATTTGAGAAATTTGGGATTTGAGAAATTTGGAACTTGAGGAATTTGGGAATTGGGGAATTTGGAATTTGAGAAATTTGGGATTTGGGAAACTTGGAATTTGGGGAATTTAGGATTTGGGAAACTTGGAATTTGGGGAATTTGGAATTTGAGATATCTGGAACTTGAGAAATTTGGAACTAGGAAAAATTGGAATTTGAAAAATTTGGAATTCATGAATATGGGTTACGATCAATTTGGAATTAGGAAACTTCGTAGTCGAGGAATTTACGAAGTTGAAGAATAAAAGTTGTTTAAAAAAGATTTAAGTGTTCACCGACAAAGAAAAAATACACTTAAAAGCATGTAGACGTAGCAGGTACTTGATCGTATTCTTGTTATCGGTTTCTTGACGAGAATCGTCGACATAATTCTGGGTTACAATTGTCCCATCCTGTAGGAGAGCTTCGACAGCGGCTTGTTGGATTGAAGAGACGATAAAAAGAAAGGTTGTAATACAGTGATAGTAGTGTAGGAAAGGGGAAAATATCCGCATGGGTCAGCCAAGAGAGACTTAAAAACGAGGAGATGGCCGCCTCAATATCGGCTTTCCGGATACTTCACGTACTTATCTAATGTCTTATATTTTCTGCTCGACTGACCATTCAAATTTCGATTGCCAACGTCTCATTGAGGAGATACATTTTCTGTTCTTTAGACATCGTTTTGTTACAATTTTTATTAAGTTTCTGTTTGATATCTGATGGTACTTGTTAAATAGCCGTTAAATACTTGATGAATACACGTTGAGTGTTCATTAAATAAATACTTGACAAATACTCATTAAATACATATTAGATACATGTTAAATATACGTTGAATACGTGTCTAAGTATTTGTTAAATGTTCGTTAAATATTGAGTGAACACCTAATAAGTACTATTGAATACCCGTTAGGTGCACGTTAAATAAATAGCCGACAGATACCTGATAAATACCCGTTTAATGATCGTTAAATACTGAATACCGAAATATTCTAACTTGAATACCAACATTAATATTCAAGTAATTAAATATTTAAATTTTTCAGAACTTTTCAATGAAATTAACAATTTTTTTACAAATGTAAAAAAAATATCGTGTACATTTTATATGGATTTCTTCACATTAATCATACAATTTTTTCATTAATTATACGCACAAGTTTATTGATTACAATAAATGTTCAATTAGTTCGTATATTATTTATTATTCATATTACAGAGTCACAAAAAAGATTAGGTCTTAAGAATAGGGTTTTTGAACGAACAGTTCAGTAATATCTTACTGGAGGTTGTTCAAAGGTCTCTGTGTAGGTTTGATTACAATTCTGTATCGATTTTCCATTGTTGATTTTAAGACCCAGTCAATGGGTAATGTAGCGGGTTGTTGCGATTAAAAGTCGATTCTGTTGTATCTCTCGAAATAAAACATTGTAATGGTTTTAAAACACAGTAATTTCGTTCGCGAATCAAGTTAATTTGTACCAAATTTAAAGTTTGAAAATTTAGGGATTTACAGCTGGAATTTTTGAAAATTTTACAGGTTTCAAAATATAGAGTATTTAACAATTTTTTTAAATTTAATATTTGGGGGTTAGTTTAGAAATTTTTCAGATATAAAAATTTGGTAATTGGTTGCTTTTTTTTAAGATTAACTTGAGATTTGAGTGTTTGGAGATTTTTCAAATACGAAGTTTGAAAGTTTGAAAATTTTGTGACTTTTAAAACTTTGTGAAATCTATTAAAAAATTAAAAAATGTACACATTTGAAAATATCAAACTTCACATATGAAATTCAAAAGTCTTCAATTTGAAGAATAAGTAAATTTGTCCCATCAGAAGCTCCGAAGCTTTCAAAATATCTTTCTTCTCCCCACCCCATTTAATCTACCCTTGCAAAAACCTTGATCATTCCATTTGTCCGCGGCGCTCAAAGGGTGCACCATATATAAAGATATTGTCTATCTGAAAGGAACATTCATCGTATAAACTCGCTATTGAGGGCAGCTGTACTAAATAGCGTCGGTAACAGATATAACGGCGGCGCTATCTGGCGTAGGTAGACTCCGTTGTTGTACATCTACCCATATACATGTCTCTCTCTATATATATATTTTTAACGCCTTCATTTCCGGCCACGTTGGGATACCGGAAATAGCGGGACGATACCTCGCGGTGTTTCAGGTATTGATCAGTTCGAGGACTCGGTACCACCCACCCTTTCATAGGGTGGGGGGCTGCAGACTGGAAGCTTCGACCCCTGCACCTACCCCCTCCATTTTACCTTCACCGTCGAGTATCGGCGTCGCCCGTGACGCCCCCATCCGCCCCCACCCCCGACTCCCTTACGACCCGGCTACCGAGCCGTCGAACACGAATCTTTAGATATCTCCGTCGTCTTCGCTCGAATCTTCGGGTTACGCTCCAGTAGGCTGTTCGGAAATAAAACGAGGACGAGTTTTAGATCCGTGTCGACTCTCTATGGCTCCTCCTTAACGTAACAACCATGAACGTATACTGGGTGCCAAAGATGCGATTCACCTACTTGCGGTCAGGTTTAGGTACAGTTATTTGGCTGAGGCTGCATATTAAATATTATTGGAATTGTTAGTAACAATATGAATCGTAAAATTATTTTGGATCGTGGTGTTAGGTAAAGAGATATCCGATTTACTGCTACGTTCACTTATTACGAATTTTATTTATTTTATTATTTATTCGAAGCAATATAAGTTTAATACTTTATCCAATTTCATTCGCTGCATATGGCTCTTTAATTTGTTTATAAGATATTTTAGACAAAAGTCTATGATGTTAATTGATGCTACTACTAACGTTGGTCGTATGGTCAACCGAAGTGCACCGAGTGCGGCCGAAGATAACCGATGTGCCACCACTAAGTATCTGCCGTCTCAAAAATTCAGAAGTTCTTCATTAATTTAAGAATTAATTCATGTTATTGAATAAATATACTTATTAATTCCAGTCAAGTTTATTATCGATCATTT